GACGACCTCCGTGGCCGAGTGTTTGTACGCCGGGTTTCATGGTGTCGCCGACTCGAGAGGTCCCGGATTTGAATCCCGGTGGGGGCAGATGTTTGTGTGATTAATACGAGTATTTATACTCCAGTCATGGGTGTTTAATATGTATTTCTATATACTTATATTCTATCTGTAACCCTAGCATCCCATAACACAAGCCTTACAGTGCTTACTTTGGGGCTAGGCTAATTGGTGTAAGTGTTGGAAACATTTATTAATTTATTTATCTTACTACTCATTAAATAAATCATTGTTCTGTCACGAATGAAACTACTCTAATAATAATAAAGATCAATTAATTATCTCAAACTAGTGATTTTTAGGTATTACTTGAAATTCTCTTTAAAGCCTGTCGTGCAAGTGAACCTAAGATATCTCCAAGAATCAATCAACCTTGTTTGGTGAAAGTAAACAATTTGGATAAACACAAGAAGAAAATGCGTGTTTTTGTTTTTTGAACTTTTTCACCCAAGGTTATTTATGTTCGAAACAGACTTTCGAAACACGACGCGTATTTTCTAATGTAATTCTGATGATAGAAAATAGTACCTATTGACTCAACACGTCACGTTTCAGTCTGTTCCGGCCTTGAGGGTTTGTACAGACAGCCACACATCAATTTAACACAGATTTTTTTTTCACAATAGATGTTACTCTTGTGCAAGTAAGATTAAAGTTCATGTAAAGTGGAGTTTAGGATAACTTGATCTGTGGCAATTTGCACATAATTAAAAACGATTTTTTTTTTATTGAATAGAGCTAGGACAGTAAAATGTTTGAAGGACCGCTATGAATATTTAGGCGCTTAGCAGACGACGGGGCGGGGCGGGCCGGTCAATTTCGCCGCGAATAATAGCACAAAGTGAATCCTATACTTCAAACGCATACAGAGGGCAAAAAGACCGCGCCGCAGGTGCCCGGCGGGCAGTGGTGGCGCGGCATGTCCGCGGCTGATCGGCGGGCAGTGGTGGCGCGGCATGTCCGCGGCTGCCCGCCGTGGATCAAACAAACCAGTTTATATGCAGTAACGCAGACGGCGCACAGTGGGTGAAAAAAAGAGGTCCCCTTTCATAGGATTTTTGAAAAAATAAAAATGTATATTATCCGTTTAAGGTATGCGGTTTTATTGGACATATCAGTACATTGAATAATAAAATAGTTTGGGGAATTTCCTTTTAATCTAACACCATAAAGCACGGGCTTTAGAGTTTCAAATGTATGAAAACGGAATTTGTTTTGCTCATAACTTGTCTCGGTCTTCTACGGTCAAGCTGTAACTAATAGGGATTATTACCGGGTCTGTTACGAAGCCATGTGACCTTTGACCTTCACCCCGGACGGCCCCGTTCAAAAGATACGAATTTTTCAAAATGCTTAATAATAATAATAATAATAATAATATTCTTTATTGTAATACACCATACAAGAAAACACAAGTAAATTAAAAAACATGATGGATAGAACGTACACAATATAGGCGGCCTTATTGCTAGGCAGCAATCTCTTCCAGGCAACCCATAATAGAAAGATAAATAAATTATTAGGGTAATTTTGCTTTACGGGGTTATGTGTCTCAATAAACAGTTTGTTTATGTTTCTTGCCCAGCATTTAGTTATTAATACAGCGCAGATTATTATCTAATAAAACTATACATATATATATATAGATAACGACACCATACAACTTAACTTTAAATAAAAGCGTCCTTATTCAAAAGATATGGAATGAATATAAATAGATAAAAGAAATAGTTTTAAGAAAAAGAAAACAAGAATACAATATTGTAAAGAATTACAATGAAGTCCTTTACAGCCTACAATTTAATCTTTTGTTTGACAATCGCTTAAAAGCCGCGCGCCATTAACGAGAGCATCATTACATATAAACAATACAAACTCTATTGTTGCAGGTTTTGAGGAATTCAAAGGGTTACCCACAGTCATTACCTGCCGTTGTTTGCCTATAATAATTACTGATTATTTGCTTTTATTGTGGGTAGGTGAATAAATAATACGTTGTTATTATTATTATTCAACAATGACTTCGATTATAATAAATACGGAGTACACCTGTATTTCAATTCACTTATCATTATTGATTCGTACCGTAACGTTCTCTTTGCTCAAATTTTAAGTTGCTCAGAATGGAAGGGCTTGTGCCTAATCTCGACGTATATATATATATATGAGGCAAAAATCTTTTAGTGCCGACCTGTTATTTCAAAAAGTACTCGATTCAGTGAGATTTTCATTATCTGAAGAACAAAAGACAACTCTTAAAACGTTTTGTGCTACATATACGAGTAATCTTAAACGCAAATGGAAGTCAGCTAATTACACACAAGGGAATTTTATAAAGAGTTTTGCTGACTGGTTGGACCAAGAAATAAAATGACCAGAGTTTGTTTCACTAGACATAACTGAAGAACAATCAAATATTATGACGAGTTTTGAAGATCCTTCAACAAGTATTTCAACAGTAACAAGACCTAGTTTATCAACGGAATGCACTGTTCCTCATAGTGTGGCTGTGTCGACATCAACCGCTACATTTAGTCCTCGAAAAGAATTTGCCAATTTGAGTCCACTGCAAAAAAGAAGAAGAACTGAAAATCTCATTGCCGAAAACGATTTTGAGACACTTGCTTATGCCCTGGCTAGGAAAGCGGAAAATGAAAACCAAACGGACTTTGTAGAATTAGTGAAGCATTTGATTAAAAGGCCTGAAGATGCGCCAATGCTGCGAGCCTGCCTGAAATCGACGAAACGAACTTGTCATACCGATAAGGCACTCGGTATTTCAACATCACTGAAATTATCGAAATGGCAGTATATTACATTGAGGCAGACAATGAGAGACATGGGGTGTGATATACTTCCATCGTATGATGCTTTGAAGCAAGAGAAGAAGAAGTGCTACGTTGAAAAAGAAGACATGGTAATAACTGAGACTGAAGTTAGTTAGAGAACGTTACGGTACGAATCAATAATGATAAGTGAAATGAAATACAGGTGTACTCCGTATTTATTATAATCGAAGTCATTGTTGAATAATAATAATAACAACGTATTACTTATTCACCTACCCACAATAAAAGCAAATAATCAGTAATTATTATAGGCAAACAACGGCAGGTAATGACTGTGGGTAACCCTTTGAATTCCTCAAAACCTGCAACAATAGAGTTTGTATTGTTTATATGTAATGATGTTCTCGTTAATGGCGCGCGGCTTTTAAGCGATTGTCAAACAAAAGATTAAATTGTAGGCTGTAAACGACTTCATTGTAATTCTTTACAATATTGTATTCTTGTTTTCTTTTTCTTAAAAGTATTTCTTTTATCTATTTATATTAATTCCATATCTTTTGAATTAGGACGCTTTTATTTAAAGTTAAGTTGTATGGTGGCGTTATCTACTGTGTAGTTTTATTAGATAATAATCTGTGTTATATTAATAACTAAATGCTGGGCAAGAAACATAAACAAACTGTTTATTGAGACACATAACCCCGTAAAGCAAAATTACCCTAATAAGCATTTTGAAAAATTCGTATCTTTTGAACGGGGCCGTCCGGGGTGAAGGTCAAAGGTCACATGGCTTCGTAACAGACCCGGTAATAATCCCTATAAGTTTCAGCTTGACCGTAGAAGACTGATACAAGTTATGAGCAAAACAAATTCCGTTTTCATACATTTGAAACTCTAAAGCCCGTGCTTTATGGTGTTAGATTAAAAGGAAATTCCCCAAACTATTTTATTATTCAATGTACTGATATGTCCAATAAAACCGCATACCTTAAACGGATAATAAACATTTTTATTTTTTCAAAAATCCTATGAAAGGGGACCTCTTTTTTTCACCCACTGTGCGGCGGCGCGGGGCGGTCAGCTCAGTCCGCGCCACGCGCTTTTAAGTGATGGACTATTCACTAGAACGAACGTCCTGAACTGACCGCCTCTGCCCGTCGTGTGCTTTGTGTACGCGGCGCGGGCAGCCGCAGACATCGACGGGCAGACACGGTCTTTATTGCTTCGCGGACAAAATGCCCGCCCCGCCCCGCCGTCTGCTCAACGCCTTACGGTTACATCAAGACAAAATGTTAAGACTTACATCAATCTACCAATATCGGGTGTTCCAAACAATTTATTGTAATCACTGTCCAAAAACAAACTGATGTCAAATTTATCACCATCCACTGCTTTTCTGAATCTTCTACCACTGGCTCCCACTTCAAAATCGAAATATATCGACATTTCTCAATTTTATTCCAAAATTACCATTTATAAACTTACAGATTGATAAGTCCACTAATCTATATGGCCATGAAAGGAGCGCGCAATAAAACTCAATAGTTTAAACTATGCAAATATATTACAACCATAATTTACAAATTAAAAATAAGGAGTTAGTTAGAAAAAAATATCAAATAGCGAGTGCACCGTAATTATACGCCACTGCCGAGTTAAATAGTAACGCGATAAAACTCTCTCTTACCCCCTTTATTAAAAAAATGAGGAATAAGCTACTAAGACTAGTTACGCCGTGTATTGTTCATAATACTCAAATGCCATTTGTCATTCAATGTACAGAGACAAGACATGGAGTAACTAATCCTAGCGTATTCTTCGTTTATTAATAAGGGGGTTTTAAATACTGATTAGTTTAAGTACATCTATTTGACGACATCAAGAGCTGCCAGTGCCATCGTGATGGTGATCTTTCGTTTAATTTTATTAATGACACGCGTAAAACACGTTCAACGTGCTCGTAAAATGGTATATCAACTTAAAGTGCTGCTATCAAAACTAATATAAAACGAAATAATATTTTGATACTCTCAAAAGCTATATTATAATAATATTAATAAAACCATTTCAAAGTAACTTATTACTAGACTACTCACAAACTAAATAATCGTAACTCAAACTATCAACAAACGAAATTACATACAATATTATAAGCTTTATTTCAAACTGAATAAGAGATTCAAATATACAGTAAAATTAAAAAAGTCGTGTTACAATATCAAAATGTCATAATGAAGATTTATTGAGCAAATAATTATAAAATTGCAATAAAAACATACTATCATTATTAATTGGTCAGTTATGATTAAAAAACCTATTATAATACTAAAGAAATTATATATCACAAAAATCTACTTTTATTATTGTACTTTCATAATTGAGAACTTTTCAATTAATAAAATATTTTTTCAAACTTTAACCACATTGATTTTATTCTTTCCACAGCCGTCTTGTTCACAAAAGAGAATTTGGTCTCTTTTTCTATAAGCTTATAATAATGACAAAGTGTAGGCACAAGAAAATTCTTTACCTTTGTGAACGAGCCAACCGAACAATCATAAATAAACAACACAATAGTAATATTCACTTCATTAAAAATAGTGGTCATAAGTTAACACCATACCAAATGTAGTATACTAGTGTTTAAAGTACAGCAGAGCTTTAAATGAAACCAATTTAAAATCGACACTATCGCTTGAATTATAAAGCTCAAATTCGTAAAACTTAAACAGATTCATAATTTAAAACTCAAATAATTGTCTTTCTTGTCATGTCGTGCTAGAGTTGCATTTCTCTCAGTCAGACACTTTTTTAAATGACTGTTACATGTTATTTTTTGTCGGAGTAATTGCATTAATTTGCGTTGCATGATACCAAGATAATAAACTTTAGTATAACACAGCTGATATTTAATATTTTCAATTAGTGTTAAAATCAAGATGTTTTTCCCCTGCATTCGAGACTGAAATTCAGACGATTATTAAAAGAAAAAATACGACATGATAAATGTTAGAACTTACGAATCAGTCTTCATATCAAAGGCGGAAGATTCTTAACACGCACTAAATGCGTATGCGACTTGGATCGACTAACGCTATTCGGTGTAGTTTTCACTTGCATATTGCTTATTGTGTTCTGTCTTTGTAAATTAACTTTGTTAGCACTAAGGGGAGCTCTTGGGGTCGCAAATCCATTATTATCCAGTTTTAAAGCAGATCTAGTAAGTCTTGTTGGGGTGTAAAGAAGGTTGCTCTTGGGAGTACCCGGCACGTTTACTTGTTGATTGATGATGTTTTCTTTTCCTACTTTAGGCGTCAAAGGTGTGGGGTATTTAGGTTTGGTTCTTGGTGTCGTCGGCGTTTTCCTCTCTTCGATGCTGGAGAATACGATGGCCGGTAATACGGTTTCCGGAGGCTTAGAAGTCGCCATTGAGCTGCGGCACATTTGCTTCTCGCTGATGCCCTCCTGTGGATTTTTTTTTAATATTAACAATAGAATACTTTCGGAGATTTGATCTCGGTTAGAAATAATCCCACCCTCTGCTTACTACTTATTTGATGTAGCATACTTTTTGTTTTTGTCATGCTATAAAGAGTATTACAAACTTTCATATTTATAATATTAGTAATATAGGAAGTTATACTGAAGTCAGTGCAAGAAGTGAGAGGCGTGAATTCCATAAGCGGGTCTTTACTCAGAGACTGTGGTGGAAGGATGGAGTAAAATCTATATGGAAAAAATGTATATTGAACAATATTTATGTTCATTAACTTGAAGTCGGTGTAAGTGGTAAGAAGCGTGGACTCCATAAGCGGGGCTTTAGGCGGCACCTCCTCGTTATCGTTGGAGGCGGTAGAGCGTGTGGCGTCGATGGAACGACGACCATTACTCTTGCGTTTACTCAAGAGACTGTGGTGGAAGGACGGAGTAAAATCTATATTGAAAAAATATTTATGTTCATTTACCTTGAAGTCAGTGTAAGTGGTAAGAAGCGTGGACTCCATAAGCGGGGCTTTAGGCGGCGCCTCCTCGGAGGTGGTAGAGCGTGTGGCGTTTGTGGAATGACGACTGTTACTCTTGCGTTTACTCAGAGACTGTGGTGGGAGGATGGAGTAAAATCTTTATCAAAAATTATCTATGTTCACTTACCTTGAAGTCAGTGTAAGTGGTGAGAAGCGTGGATTCCATAAGCGGGTCTTTAGGCGGCGCCTCTTCGTTATCGTTGGAGGCGGTAGAGCGTGTGGCGTTTGTGGAACGACGACTGTTACTCTTGCGTTTACCCAGAGACTGTTGAAAATTTGCGTTGTTATTGATGATACAAGAAATATAAACAGACTTTAAATAATATATGTATTTTTTTTCAGGAGGCGCAGCATAGCTGCTATGCCCGCTCATATTTGACTTGTCGAAACGATGTTACGTTATTTACTAATATAAAATGTGGTCATCTATCATGCTGTTGTGTATTTCAGTAACACCCACTTGCGCAATCGAGAGTTGACACATTTACATATATCCGTATATCATTTTTTTTATAGATAGGTCCGACAAATGACTCCACCCCACCTGATGTTAAGTGAAGGTGAAGTCCAGACGTGAAGATAGCTGATACAGCAGTTTTACCTGCCACACCAGCCATCCTCACCCTGCCGGCCTGCATGTTGCTTCTTCACGCCTGTTTTGAAGGATCCCAGGTTGTAAGAGGGAGGGAAAATATTTAATGCTAACCTGAGTATAAATAAATAATTTGTCTAGCAGTGGCCAGAGTTCAGAGAAAATTCTGTTCTTAAATAGTAACTATTTAACCTGGTGGGTTAAATTCATAACCTCATGTGTGTGTTGTGCTTAGTATTTTTTACACTGTATGGGCTCTATTAAAAACAAAATTTCGCATTTATAATATCAATATAACTGGCATCCGTCCGTCCGTTATAGTCTTATAGTAAATCTTCTGAGATGCCACAGGAACCAATATTTTTTCCGGGATAATGATAGTCATAAGATACTTATTGTTTGTCTTAATCGAGGTAATCAAGTACTTATACGATAGTCTTAATTCATCCGAAACCGTTCCGCCATTTTCGTGATTCATTAACAACTTCCACACGGCATACAAATATAGATCAAACTTATGTGTTCTTAGTTTTAACCATCAAACATGCAACTATTTTCCCGACAAACAAGAGCTTTTTAAATGTCTCCAAACAGATCCTAAACCACTCACAAACCATATAATGTTAAGACTTCTTCTTTTTCTTTGGAAATATAGTGACTGCCATAAATTCTGCCTTTATCACGAAGATAGTCACAAAACGGTGGTACGTTGTTTAAATTTTATTTACAAAATACATTTTTATGGAGATATCTTCCTATGTGGATACCTAGAACAGCACAACAAGGATTTTGGACAACACATATGTAGGACCGACACAAACTAGGGGCCGTCCATTAATCACGTGATGTATATTTTGGCATTTTTAGATTGATTGAGGTTTAAGACTACCCCCCACCCTCACACTCCCCGCTCCTCCCGATGGGGGGCCATCAAATGAGAAAAACTTTTTTGTACTAATACATGAACATTATTTAATGTACAGTATCCTCGGACCACGGAAATACACGTGACATATTTCTGCACCCCCCCCCCCCCCTCCAACCTTGTGATATTTCGTGATTTTTATGGTACCCTCCCCTCCTTCCGAGACTCACGTCATTAATGGACAGCCCTCTAGTATAAAGACACTTACTGTACGCTTATGTTTCAATATACTGCCATTGACAGTGGCCTTGGGAGTCCTTAGTCCGTAGTCCAGCTTCCGTTTGGCGTTTTCCGGTTTGCCTTCTGCCACCACTCGCGCCGCTAAACGACCGCTTATACGCCTGCGAACGAAATACAACCTTATCGTTTCCGCTACATAAGGAATTTTAATAATAATCGCTAGCGCTTGTAAGAAATATAAGTAAAAATAAAACGTCGAAATGTATGTTTGCACATAATTGCCCAACGACAGCAACAAATGGACAATTCTTTATTTATTGTCTTCGTTATTAACAGGACAAGGTTCGTATAAAAATATAGAAAAATTCGAGCAGAAAACAAATATGAGTGTACGATGTTCGCTGGTTAGCTAGTATTGAATAAAGTGTATAAAATAAGTAAAAAAAATACAAGATTTAAATGGAGTTCAAGTAAAAACGCGAAACGCGATGAAAGCAAAAACTACAGAAGAAAGTGGTCAAAATGTTGTTTATACTGAAATAAGTCAGCTTTGGTGGGTCATGGCCCGACTTCCCTATTCCATCCATAGGGAAGGCCTGTGCCCCAGCAGTGGGGACATTAATAGGCTGATGATGATGAAGTCAGCTTTGGACACTTTGATTTGATTTTATTAATGTGTTCATGAATGCAACTTAAAATGACTAATAGTAAATATGATTCAATATCAATAGATAATTTTACTCAACAAACTAGACCCAAGCATCAGTTTTGATTCGAACAAGCGTCTAAAGCTACCCTGGAAAATGTATTGACCGCAGTGCTACCGAGACCATAAAGGAGTCCTTTTTTTCTTGTTTATTAAATACTCTCTAAATAGCGCCTTTTCTTCACATTGCAGATTAACAAATTATTTTCATTTATAAATCTAGCAATTAAATGCTTAATAATAACATACAATTTCAAGTTTATTTCTTAGTAATTAGTTGAAATTCGAATTCAGCAAAATAGAAGTATTCAATAATGTTTCTAGAAATATGCAAAAAAGGATACAAGATTATAAGAAAGCAACAGATAGTGGACTATCTAGGAATAATTCGCATAGAGCTGAAAATTGAAAGAGACGTTGAATACATCTTTATAAATAAAATTTCAAAAATTCCCTTCGATCCTACTTCTGCAAAAAAAATTCAAGGTCAAACATACAAAATTAAGGATTTTTCCATTTTTCTCGGAAACGGTAAGTTTTATCGAGAAAATAGATAAGACAAAAGTTGTAGACTATACACGTATAAGATATATATGTTTTTCAAATAGGACTTGTATAATAATATGTTTTTCAATCACATAAATTACTAATCTTTAAACTAGCACAACATTACATGCCTACATACAATTACAAAGTAATTGCACTGACTATGCCTAAAAACACACTGGTCCAATGATCAAACTAAATGTAAGTACAAAAAATCTAATAAAGCGATTAGCTACTGACATAAATGGTGTTACGTTCTTACACGGGACGAGATAATGCATAAACTAAAAAGCCAATAACCTGTACGAGTGCGTTACATAAACTGTTCAATACACAGACCTAGATTTAAGTAGAAGACGCCTGAGCTTCAAATTGTACCAAAACCGAGCGTGTCATATTTTGAGAACAAATTAATGTTGAAAAAGCATGTACCCCTGCCTCTTTTTCAATACTATCGGTTTTAGTTTCATAAGAAAAAACAAAAGATTGGTTTTTTTAATTTTGTTTGTCTACCGCTTTCAAGAACAGTGACACCATAAAATAACGTCAAAGGAAGACCTTTGCACTGCCTTTTGACATATTTTTGGAACGCAAATTACATACACTTGCGGTATCTATTCAATCTATATCTGTGGTACAATATTTCTCATTCCATCTACGCGCGCAGTGTAGTACAATAAATTTTTCTACTGTCACTAATCAAGCAAAACTTGCCTCGGTAATGTTCGCAGTCTCAGTTCGCTTCACAAGCGAGCGCTGCAATTGTAAAGGAATGAAAAATATTATTATGGCGTAAGCATAAATTCAAGACTAAAATGGGACAAAAATATCCACCCGGATACCGCTAGGCGCAGTTTCCAATCCTGTCTTTTTCCTGAACCAACTGGTTTTTTTCTAATAAAATTTTATTGAAAACTTTGAACATATATTTTTTTTATTTACCACTTACTCCTAAAATACCTAGCAGTTAAATGTTTAGAGAATATAATATATATGTACAATTTCTATTTCGTCTTTCATATGTATAATACTTGTAAAGGTATTCGCTTGTGCGTTACCTACAATGCTAAGACGTGGCGCTGCCTCGCAGTCTAAGAAATACTAGAAAGAATCCGACACGGCCATTACGGCCGCGGTAGCATAATGGCCACTGCATCCGCCCGGGTAGCGGAGGATGCGGGTTCGAGTCCCGTCTGCTGTCTGGTCCACGTGGATTTTTTTCTAGTAAAATTTTCTTTACTTATAAAGAAAAAAATACAAAGAATGATCAAAGTTTTCACTATTATTTTATTTGACAAGATTTAAGTCTGCATAGAAATTATGCTGGAATTGAGCCATCACCATCAACGATCTGGACAAATGCACAGACCTTTATGCTACTGGGACAGTACAGGCTATATAATGTAACTTGCTACCTGGGGGCCATTCGCCTAACGGAAATGCTTTAGAGAACGCTAACGCTTTCGATTTTATTTTGTTATTTCTGACCGCCGAAATTTTTCAAATACCTCACGCTCATTTTCTTTGATATTGTTATTACCAATGTAAAAGAAAAAAAAGAGCGCGAGGCATTTGAAAACCTCAGGCGGCTAGAAAAAACAAAATGAAATCGTAAGCGTTAGCGTTTTCCAAAGCATTTCTGTTAGGCGAATGGCCCCCTGGGCCTTACTGAATTTAATCTTGTAAAATTTTCCTCTATTAAAAAGGTTTTTTTTTTAATTTTTTAAATATCTTTCGTGCGTGTATATTTGATAACAATGAGTCTGATTCAAGCACGATTCTCTCAAACCTTTAAATATAAATGACAATAGTATGTCATGCTAAAAAGAATGTGTAATAATGTAAAAGAGATACTGATGTCACTTGCAACCTAAGAAATGCTAGGAGAAATTCGATACGAGCATTAAGGTCTCGGTGGAATAGCGGTTATAGCATTCGTCCGGATAGTAGAAGACGGAACCTCGAATTCTGCCTGACTGACTGAGTGGATTGTTTTCCAGTGAAAAATTTCTTCTGAAATAATTTTAGTTTTAAGTTTAGATAAATCACATACACTGAATACTATATGTCTAATCTTACCTCTTAACAGTAGATATAGCGGATCTCTTGAGAGCGGACAGGTTGTTCGAGAACGTTGTAACTGCCTTCGTAGCGCTCCCGGTCATTAGTTGCCGCTTGGAAGGCGGCCTATGGAGTAAACGTCCTATTTTTATTTATTTATTTATCACAATGTTACCTTAAATCAACATCATATTATCAGTGCTGAAAGTGGGGCAGAGATACAAAGAAAATAGTAGATAATTCTTAACGCTACTGCTCTGCCAAACCATAAACGAAAAACGAAATAAGAAGTGAAAACAATATTTGTTTCCTAGGTTTTCACGCACACCATTCATTAAATAAAACAAGTTTGAACCGGTATAGATGCACTGATTTATTTATTTATTGACGTTTCGCACCCTTTTCAGGATGCAAGGTCTGTATTATCACGTCAATAAATAAATAAATCAGTGCATCTATACCGTTGAAACTTGTTTTATTAAGTGAAAACAAGTTCAAAAAAGTCTTTGCAGTCAGTGGTCCTCTTAGGCTAAGAACTCAAGGTCAATCCTTTTTCAAAATTTCAAAATTCAAAATTTTCGCGGCTTCTGGACCGCTAGTTGCGTAGAATGTGAAATAGTACGTTAAACGCAATTGCAAAAGACATTGGGAACATTTTGCTCTCCTTATCGAAAATTAGCAGATACAAACGACACCTATTTCAATTGAAAAATACAATTATGTACTTTAATACAATTAAGAAAGTACATAATTGTATCTATACATTGTGTAATTTTTATTTCTGTAACCTATGGGAAAGTTGAGAAAATGAAATGTTCGTATCAGCGAAGCCTATAAAGCCGTTATAGTCAAAAGCGTCACACGGGTGTTTTTTTTTATATAGCCAGGTAGGCAAATGACTCTACCCCACCTGATGTTAAGTGGCGAAGATAGCTGGTACAGCAGTCATAAACTGCCACACCAACTATCCTCACTTTGCCGGCCTGCAAAAATGCTTCTTCAAAATAATTAAAACTAGTTTTTACGGGTTAATGCACGAAACTTTATTTATTTATTGACGTTTCGCAGCCTTTTCAGGTCTGCATCGTCAGAATAATGTTTTTTTTTTTAAATCATTATTCTGACGATGCAGACCTGAAAAGGCTGCGAAACGTCAATAAATAAATAAAATAATACATTAACCCGTAAAAACTAGTTTTATTTAATGAGTGATGTGCGTGAAAACCTAAGAAACAAATATTCTTCAAAATGATTTTTTTTTATATATAGCCAGGTAGGCAAAAAGCCTCTACCCCACCTGTTATTAAGTAATGATAAAGTCCAAGTTTTAGTCTGTAAGTCCGTTCCAAAGTCCGTTGACAGCGTAATTTACGCTCGATGAGTGAGCGTTTATTACGCTGTCAATATCGTCCTGTCTTCTTTTATTTTACGTGCAGAAAACTGCGATCTTGTTAGCTTTAAAATAAAAACGAGCGAGCCTTACAGTAGTCGCGTATGTGTTATATTTGAAACCTCACTTTATATTAGTAAAAAAAAAACCTACTACAAAAGGAATAAGCCATTTGAACATTATGTTCTAAAATCAAATCAAATAGCGCGCGCTTTCGCGACTTCCTGTTACACACTTCCGTCCCGTTTCACGAAATCACTCCCACAAATTGCAGGAAAGCGAGAGGAAAGATGTTACACATCAAAACAGTCCTGCGGCTGGGAAAAGCCGCTCCGTGAGTTCTTAGCCTTAGGCGCGAATTACATAGAAATGGCGTTAGGTGAAGACGCGGCGCAGGCATCTTGCTGCTTTAAAACGTTTCAATACAAAGTGTAAGTAGGCGACAAATTGCGAATAGGGTATTTGACAAGTATTAGAAAACGATCTCACGTTATTTACTAATGTTTACTAATTAAATGTGATTCACGTTATCATAACATCCATCCAATGGAAATTCGTCATTCTGTTGTGTATTTCAGTAAAAAAAACTAAATCAAAAACTCCATTTTCAAGTTGCCGCCAAAACGTTTCTCTCGCCTGCGTTTTAGGTGTAAAAGTATTCTAAAAGTGTTAAGTCTAAGTCTAAAGTCTATTCAACTGTTGTCAAAATTTGGTTTTAAGTTTAGAGAAATACCTGTAAGTACATTGATATGTTGTAATAAATAAAAAAGGAGGAGCTCAAAGGCGCAGGTGGCTAGCGCGTTCGGCTGCGATTAAGCAACTTTCGCAATGGTCGGTCATTAGATGGGTGACCAAAAATAGAGTTCCTCCGTGCTTCGGAAGGCACGTTAAGCCGTTGGTCCCGGCTGCATCCGCAGTCGTTAGCACTCACCAATCCGCACTGGGCCCGCGTGGTGGGTCATGGCCCAATCTCCCTATTCCATCCATAGGGTAGGCCTGTGCCCAGATCAGGAGGGACGTTAATAGGCTGATGATATATAAATGAATGATGAGACCAAACCTTCAATCGTAGAACTGATGGGAAAGACTCGCTTACTGCTACGCTTTCCGGCAATCTCTCTACTTTGTTCTTAAATACTTTGTTTCCTCGTCTAAACTAACATAATAAAGAGGTAAATATTGTGAATTGTGAGTTTTGACGTTTAAGTGTAGCTATACCCTGGCTCTACTGAACCTATTTTGAAAATTCTTCCACCAATAAAAAATTAAAAGGCTGATGATGATGATGATGATAATGAATTAAAAGATAGTTAAATAATAATGCACAGTACTTGTTCCTTTCTGCGGTGGCCGCGAGTCCTGCGGCGGTGCGATTCCGTTTCCCTAAAGGCGACGTGGCTAAAGATCTTAACGAAGGAGTCTGCGGAGTCAAGGCTTGCTTGCGGGCGGATAACTTGTTCTGACGTTCCTATAAACGTAAAAAAAAATATATTTAAAAAATACATAATAGGGTCGTCGAGCTAACCATAGGGGTTTAAGAACAGAGTGGGGTAGGCGGCTCTAAAAGTGTCCGTCTAGTTGAAAGAGAAAGAAGATGAGAGACCGCTAGCTATCTCTCTCTCTTGTGACGCATGAGCAGTCGTCTGTCCAATAGTTGGTCCAAGCATCACATCGAAATAGTAAGATGCTTACGGTTGCGCAATTGGAGAGAGAAAGCTAGCGGTCTCTCATCTTCTTTCTCTTTCTATTAGAGGGACACTTCCACTTGCAGTAGAGTCTACATCTCCCCTACTCTATTCTTATACCTCTATGGAACTCAGATGGACTAAGAAGCCGTCACGCACACGTTGGAAAATTGTCTTCCAATTTAGTTCCTGTCCACGTTTCCACACCACGATTTGTACGTTATGTCAACGTACCATGTAATGTTAACGACGTGACGTGGGGATGTGGCACCGGCACTTAGACCGCACGATTGAATGCAGAAAAGCCGTCGCTTGTCGTAGGTTTCGACTGCCGGTAACGACAAAGAAAATTGTATCACAATGGAGCCGTTTGTAGCCGTTGCAGACGATGACTATATTGTATGTGATACCGCCGACACAATGAGTCTGTTGTTGGCCAAACATTGCGAGAAGTCGTCTATGTGAGATTTTTATATAATTCTTCTAGACCAAGAGCTACTACACCCTCGGAGTAACGGTATGTCTGTTTGTCTGACTAGAAATTCTTATGGTGATGAGTCATAGCATGCTTAGTACATAAGCATTAGCATCGCCTGGCACGCCTCTGCCCTGCACGTCATCAAGCTCTATATTTTTGAAATTGTCGACAAAATATAATAAAAAACTTGTTATTGTTGTTAAAAAAAAATTACCGTACTAACCATGCTATGACTCATCACCACAAGAATTTCTAGCCTTATAGACATACCGTTACTCGAAAGGTTCACTAGCACTCCTAATATTCGTCGTCTATGAGAGATTTGTATATAAAAAGATTATATACTGTTATTTTGTTTACTTTATAGCGCCTAACACGTCCTCGCACAGGCCCTGCCAGAATACCAGCACTGACACAGTGAGAGAATATTTTCTCAGTGTATCAGTATAAGCTGAGGAAGGGTCCTGATTGGCCATCTTAAATCTAGTGATTAATTTTTGTTCTTAGGTTAAGTTTCCTTTTTATATTTCTTTTTCTCTGTTTCTTATATACAAGATGGCCAATAAAGATTTTTCATTTCATTTCACATACAAATTCGTGACCACCGTTTGAAAGTTGTTCGTCTCAGCGGCCACTCATGTCAAGCTTATGTAGAATTATTATATAAACGTACGACACACCCCCAAACATCGACAAATCGTTTCACTAGATTTATCATGCGACCGTGACGTCACACCTATAAAAAACCGGCCAAGTGCGAGTCGGACTCGCACGAAGCGTTCCTTCATACCATTATCTATACAACATTAAGACACTATATTATAATACCGAGCCAAATAACGCCAAAAAACACGGCTGTTGTATTTAAATATTTAATTTACTTTATTATTTATTTTAAATTGTTTCAGTTTAAAACCATGCCTAGAACCGAGTGAAAATCGTCTAGTTAACAAGCGCCCTTAGGATTTAGGCGGAAAAAAGGAGATTTATTGGACTCCGATTCTATATTTAATAAGTTACAAGTCTTCATAATGGAATGGAAACTCGTCATTAGCGCTGTAAGTTCGAGATAACAGCTGCTTCTGCTAGAAAAACTTTAATTTCAGTCCATTAAAATATCTGTTAATTGAACAAAACGTTCAAAACAGTTGCTTACCATTTTTCTGTTCTCCCAATCTTCTTCAATCACTTGTAGTACTGGTTTTCCGTCCACGGTGAAAGTGCCTCCAGTCTTTGCCTCGTATTCGACGACGAGCTCTTTCAGTTGCGCTTCAATCTTCGGCAACTGTAAGTAAACATTAGTAACTACATCACATGATAAATCATCTTTCAACTACGTAGTAATGTTATCATTAATCATTACAAAACCGAAAACAAAGGACGTATTTTTTGCTTAGAACCAATACAGTAATAAATTTCAAAATACGATTGAACTGTCTTGTGGGCGGGGCCTAAGTCAGTATGCTTTCAGCGTTCGTCAGGTGCACACGTAACGACACTCGCATTAAAAGTGTGTTTTTTGCGTTTTTAACAAGAAAAGGATGAAGTGTTGTGTTTTACTTTGTCAAAGTTACATCAGACAGACGACAATCGATTGCAGAAAAATAAATTGATATTCGTTTTAAGCATTTTCGCACAACACAAAACAATAGGGCAACCAAACCACAACAACTAACCAAAACTATTATTTTTACAGCTAATTGAATTTTTTGAATAAAAATATGTTTGTAATAACATTTCTATTATTAAATAAAACTAGTTTTTTACGGGTTAATGCACGAAACTTTATTTATTTATTTACGTTTTATATTTATACTAGCTGACCCAGCGAACTTCGTACCGCCATAAAAAAAATTAATTAAAAAAACATTGTCCAGCGGACAAAATTGTGAATCTAAACCATTCTCAGATCCCCTTGAACACACAAAAAATTTCATCAAAATCGGTCCAGTCGTTTAAGAGAAGTTCAGTGACATACACACTCACAGAAGAATTATATATATATAAAGATTGAAGACATAGCCTTTGCAGGCGTAGCCTTTACAGGCTACGTCGTCGGAATCAAATTTTTATATAATTTTGTCGAGCTACCTTCGAAAGACTTTTTATTGAGTGTTCGGTTATTTCATTGTTCTATTTTTAAAGTTTTATGGTCTATGTATGAATTAATTACTTAATTTAGTTATTTTCTTTTAAATTCTTTTTTGTAATTTTGAGTTTATTTATTTGACCCTAACTACCGTAAACTACCACCGGTTCCAAAATTGGGAGACCTTTCTGAGAAAAACCGGCGAAACAAACTCAAGAGAGGCTTTGAATGAATGAATGTGAATTCGAGTAATGTCTTTCGTACACCCGAATACGGGCTAAGGACTAAAAGTAATTGAGCCATTATGTTTCCATATCATTTCTAAATCGCTGCTTCCTATACTCACGTTGCTGGCGATGACCTTCCGTTCTCGTTCCTCCTTGAGGAGCTGCCCGCCGCGATTGTTGTACCGGCCGGGTTCTGATGCTCGCGCTTCTAACTCGTTCATCTTAGACCAGAGGTTCTTGCGAGTCATCACCAATTCGAATATGTGCCTGAAATTGTTATCTAATTGAGCATCTTTATTGAAACACGAGGGAACATAGGGGACGGCAAGTTAACGGCTCGTCTGCCCATTGGAGCAGAGGAGCTTAAACAGACCCTGGGAGTTTACTAGAGAACAATAGCCCTAAACAGATCTAAGTGGAGAAGATTTGAGGCAGCATTTCTCCAAAGATTCGAGCATCGGCTGGACATCCTATAGAGGCTGGGGAGGCCTTGTGTCACTGACACTACATTATCACTAAAGAAAAAATTTGAAATTTACAACCATATTTGATAAACTTTAATAAAGGTTTATTTGTTTTATTTTATATTTTATTATTGAAACACGAAACATTTTTACATAAACACTAACTGTGTTAACATCCGCAGCAGTCGAGGACTGTGTCCCAGATGTTTGTATTGTAACCTGCTGTATTTTAAATTGAGGAACACGTGTTTTAGTATGCCCAAAGCACAGGTCGCTAACTACAACAATAGCCCTGCCATGCCCGTAAATCAATTTGTAAAACTAAAATCAAAACAAAAAATAAAAAAAATATGTAGTCCTCATATTACTTACTTGTGCTCATTGTAGAACTTCGTAATCTTCTCTAGATACAGTTCGTGCAATGTGAGGGTGTCTTCAGTGAATATGTCTTGGTAGTAGTGAGCAAACTCATCTCGCTCATGCGTTGAATACATTACGTTGTCCCACATTAACTTGATTTTAGTACGCACATTTGCTACAAATACCTGATTGTAAATAGGAAAATGGTCAAAGATAAACACACATACACACCATAATGATATGCTTTGAGGGGTAGGCAAAGAAAAATATACAGGAAAAAGCCTGTTACCCCAGCTGTGGGAACAATAATAAGCTGAAGATGATGATTGGCCAAATAACAAGTTTACCTTTAAAAATACAAATGATTAACTTTCATATTTCATTATCATATGTTTGATGAAATCTAATATTTGTTCCCAATTTATAGCTGTTCATATTTCTACACAAATATTAAATAGATATATTTTAATAAGTATTTCTAAATCCATTAGACCCTAAAGACCCAAAGTTGTTCTAACTTTTGGGCTAAGCTAATTGGGTATTTCGAGAAATAATGTTCACTTGTAAAAAAACACAATATTTACAAAACTTTAAGACAATAATAATATTGTTATTTCTGTCATCAAAAAATATAGCACTATTTTCACTGAATTTAATTACATGAATACATCATCTAAACCTGCCTGCTGTCTGGTCTACAAGGAATTTTTTCTAGTTAATTTTTCAATTAAATTATTAAAAAGCATTTTAAATGAAAACACTATTTCCAACGCATTTGCTTAAAGCTGATTGCAAATAAAAATAAGTTTTTTTTATTAGATTTAAACATTGAATTGATAACTTTTTGTTTTCTTGTAAATGAATAAATGTACCTGTATCTTCTGGCGTTTAATTTGTTCACATCTCTTGATCTCCTCTTTGATAGCAGCCTCTGTTTGAGGATGGCAGCCTGGGTGAGCGTGAAGGAAGTTCTCACAATAAACGCGGTCTTCCTCCAAACATTCCCACAGTTTTGTGAGCCGTTCACGTAGTTCTAACACCTGAACCAAGGAATTTATGTCAAATAATATACTGGCGCTTTAGGCGACATTTAAGTTAGATCTAAATGGATCTAGATTGAGTAGAAAAGTATTTTTGCAAGAAATTATTTTTGTTTTGTTCTATTTTTTAATACAAAACTATGGTATAAGACTATACAATTACAATTCCTTCGATTTTGTTTATCAGTCTAGTAACAGCATTTTCTAAATACTTACATATTATCTCATACTACAAGACATAGGATAAAACTAATTCCTGTGGTACATTTCCTATAATGTACAAAAATATCTATCTAAGTAAACTTTGGTAAGGATTACATTATATTTACAGTCAGTCGGCATTGTTTACAAGTGTTTGCTTAGACTTTTTAACATAAACTTTCACATACCCTGTTGTTAGTCTGCTCATATTTCTCTTGCAAGTCCTGCTGAAGCTTGGCGAGGCGGTCCATGTTCAAATCGGTCACTTTGAAGTCCACAGATAGAGAAGTAACAACAATGTGTTCAAATTTGTTTTGTGGCTTGATTTGCAGTTTGTCTGTAAACATGTATCAGCTAATTAAAACAATTACTTATTTGTTTCTCTGATCTATACATAAAATAAAAAATGCACAAAGGTGGAGTGGCAGTGATATGTTTTGTACCAGCTTTCCTACTTCCAAAGCTGAATTCTACTTTCCAAACTTGTAGAACTAGACAAATAATTCACTACAGTAAAAGAATAATGTCATCCTTACTATAATATTTCCTATTCTTGGACCTGTCAACCTTAAATAATAAAGATATGTCATCACAAAACAGTAAAAAGCTTACCCATTATATCTTTAATCTCAACTTGAGTGTGCAAAAATGTCTCAGCTCTCTTATCTCTCTCTGCTTGTAAGACTTCAAGGTGCTCTTTCAACCGGTCAAGCTCCTCCTCAGAGGGCAGTGGAACCTCCTGCAACTCCTGGATGGTGATGCCGAGCTTGTCAGCCAGGTCGCGTTGCCATTCCAGCAGACGTTCCATCTTCATGCGCCGCTGTTCCATTTGTTCTCTGTACCTGTAGTTTATTAATTCCATATTTTAATGAATAAATAGGATTTTTTGCCAATAATAATTCTGTTATTCTAAAGGTGAGAGAACTTCATCAAAAGTTCTCAGATTGATTGATTCATTAATAAAACCATGAATGAAAAATCACAAAATGTGAATGATTACCTAAGTACAGAGTTTATTCTATATGTGCTCAATATTAATACTTAGTAGTTTGGTAGTATTAGAAATGCATGCTGTGCTTTCATCTAGTAGGTTGCAAAGTACTTGATATTCTTTGTAACCAGTTATGTGAGCCAAATAAAAAGAAAGTATATTTATATAGAAATACACATAGACATCCATGACTTGAGTACAATTTATGATACCGACTTACCCTGCAATTTGTTCTTCTAATTCTCTTTTGTATTCAACCAGCATCATGTCTTCTTTGAAGTCCAGTATTGTAATGTCAACTGACAAACATCTGCTTAGCTCTTCAGTTTCTTCTTTTAACTCTAATTAAATAAAACATTGACAGTTTTAGGAAATAATCTGTTTTCAATGAAAGACAATAATTATTTTCAATACAATAAAAACTTAAATTAAATAGGATTCTAGTTTATATCAATGTTACTCGTAAACTACACTTCTTATGCAAAACAAAACTTATTGTTTTTTTAAATACTTACTGTCTACTTCTTTTTGAATCTTTATAAGTTTCTGTCTCGTTTCCAAAATCACATCCCTATGAAGTTCCTTCTCAATCTGCACAAGCTTGGTTATGTTGGTTATCTTTGTACTGTCTTCTACTCCTAAATGTGACCAATTAAGCCATAGCTCTTCCATCATTGAACGGATGTTTTGAGATATTTCATGAAGAGCATCATTGCTAAAAAAACACATTTCGATAAGATTTACCTCCTAGGAAACTGACGTCATCTAAAAGCTTCATACAGAGTTTTGGAAAAGAGAAATAATAAAGAATCTTTAAAATGTGAAAGTAGTTGCCATGTAGGTATAATTTCTTGGCCATAAGAATAACAACTAAGTAAAAATGTATAAATAACAGCATTTATTATCCTTACAATTATACTGTGTATTATTTTACCATGCCACAATAGGTAACGAATATTAATTTCAAACTTTGTCATTGCTCCGGTAAAACCAAAGCAACGCCAACGATTATTGATGATTTTCTATAAAATACGGGTCACCTAATGTCCATAGATTGATTTAAATTAATTAAGACACAAACTTGAAGCGTTATATTAGGCGAATACAGTCAAAATTGTAAATACTTACAAAAGCTTATTGACGTCTTCTGTTAGAGTAATCATTTTTTTATTATTCAATAGTTACGTTTATAAATTCAAACAATTCACATCAATCCGCCAGAAATAATAACAAAACACTTCAAATATCAATACTTTCACATAAAATCATTCAAAGTTTAGAACAGGCGTAGAGCAGCTACAAAAACGTTTGATGAAGTTTTCAAATTGAAGACGTTACGAAACAAAATGACCACAGGCGCGTCGCTATTGGTTAGATGCTCCGCTGCGTTCAAAAACCGCAAATTGACACATCGCGTTTTGTTTCATGCCATCATTATAAAATAAAATAATTTTGGTTGATTGTCGATTCAAAAGATTCGTTTGTAAGTTTTGTCATTGACTGTTTTTATATTTCTTCTTCTTTGTCACGGCTGGTTCCCATTTGTCGGGTGGCGGATCCGTATAGCCATCGCTTAGCTCAACCATATAAAATAACCAATATAATAGTTATTTTACTCAACAGAAAATCATTGGTTATAATAGTATTTTCATTCGTTTAATAAAAATGTGTCAGTGTTCGACACGGACCTGAAAAAAAGACGGACGTAACCTTGTCTAATCGTGAGTGAAGCATGTCAATGGCCGTCTGCTTACCGTACCGTATGCGTGATTTGAAGGTTGTCGGGTAAATCATCCAATTTTTAAATTTCGCAAACTAAAACATTGTTAACATTATGTACAGTTTGTCTATAAAGTCGTGACATGAATGTTTGAGGAACTTACATTATTCATGTGTCTGGCAACACCAAACTTATGTACATCAGCTGTCATCGAGTTTCAGTTGTGGAACAGTTTTCCTTTTGTATTTTTTATTGTTTGGATTAAACTGTAATAAATTAAGATGAAACTACGCAGAAAGGTATAAAATGAGTAAAGTAAATCGGAGTGGCACGCGGGAAGTGATTTTTAAAGTTTTCCAGCGATGTTTAGAAGACTACCAAGCTGGACGGATTTTGTGGGATTTGGACGAAGTTTATGCGCGAACAGCATCTATGACGGGTATGTAATCGTGTAACTATTTGTTTGTAATCTGCCTGAAGTTACAAATTTACTCAATTTACGATTTTGAGACCAAAAAAGGCATTGTTTACATTGCACATTTTTAGGTTAGATTGACATTGTAAATAGGTAATATTGTAGTACGACCATTTCTTTTGATACGTTATTATGGTTCAACTCGATCAGGTTTTCTACCTATTTTGAATTAATTGCTTCATATCAATAATTTATTGTTACTATTCCGTTACATATTTTTTTACTTTTTTTCAGGAAAATCAGAGAGTCGGATAGTCAACGAAGGTTTTAAGAATGATGGAAAGTTTGAAACTCCTCAGAAAACAGGAAAGGCCGACCAAAGAAAGAAATGGTCACATAAAGAACCATGGCCAGATGCTTTTAGTGAAGATACCTATCACTAATTTTACTAACTGCACATTTACAAATTGTTTCTCTAAATAAACTTTTTATATACTATAAAATGATTTTAGTATTATTGGAGTTTACTCTATAAGAATCGATTTGCATATATAAGGGGCCCGGTATGAGAAAAATGTGAGGAGTAAAATCTATCGATGAATGACCTCGTTATGTTTTTTTCTTAACAAGAGTGTTAAAAAACGTCGTATGATGATACTTGTGTGTATTGATGATTACCTAACGGCTCTGGTCGCAATGGCACCTCAGCGGTAATCACCAGCATTACACGCTTTTACACTATAAAGTACTATTTTATCTATAATAATTTTATTCTGAATCAATTAAATATGCTTGGCTCAACTTTTTATAAGCATAGGTACCTACTGTATATAAAACAGAAACAAAATACGACTGTATAGTGTGTCTTATTAATTACCTATTTTACTTGAATGAACTGCTAGTATCAAAATCATTTTGGTCCGACTGTATAGGGTTGCTACATGCATACTAGTGGCGCCATCATTTAATGTCACGACTTTATAGACAAACAGTAATCAAATATATAGGTAGTTTTTCAATTACAGAGCATAATGCGACTCAGTGGCGCGCAATGCCGATTATGCTGATGCTTATTTGGAACGTGAATTAGTTTTCAAATGCACCAGCAGAGTGCGCTAAGTTCAGTGTTCAAAAATCAATGTTTGTACCTTCATCCATACTTATGTTTATCCATACACAGTTTGAATTAATTATGATTATTTAAAAAAAAACTTCAATGGAACGAAAGCTCAAAAAAAATTCAACAATGAATAATATTACTAACGATATTAAAGAAATAAAACATTTCGATCAATGCCAACTTAAAGAAAAAACACTGGTTAATTTTCTGTCACTGAGTTGGTAGGTACGATTGCACGCAGCACACGAAAACATTACTTTTGAGACTTTTGAGAGTGCTAGATTGTGCAAAGCGTTGCTGTAGTTGAAACATTCAACGATAGCCATTATGCCGCATAACGCGTTGTCATCATTTTTTTTAACCAAAAATATTTAGATGAAAACACTTTTTATATATGAATAAATATAATATTGTTAACATATTAAATGTAAATTAATGTCTTAATATTAAGTATGAGGTTAATAATATACATTTATAATAATGAAATTATCAGTGCAATCAGGGCTAACTTGATATCATTATTTTTATTATAGGAACTACTTACCACAAATGCTACTGGTGAGTGCATCCGCCCGGACTAGGAACACGCAGATTTAAGTCCTGACTGCGACCTTGACAGAGTTAATTTTTTTCTAGAAAAAATCTTAATATATATGAGGAGCTGGCGATGTAGCGAGTGATGACGCATATGGTTTTGACCATTGTAATAAATGCATGTTTGGGCGAGCTGAATTTGAATTTCAACTCATGTCAATCAAAACCGCCTAAAACAGTGTTAAAATTACCTACTAAATTAAAAATCACACCAAAAGCTCACTGTAGGTATATGTCATTCAGTTTTTTACTGTTCCTGTAAAATTTAATTTGATGTAATTGTACCGTTTTGTTCGCCAGCTCCTCATATATAAATTACGCGTTTTCTCTACTCATATATAAATTGGTTGTCCTGGATGAATTCCTAAACTACCTCACCGATTTTAATTAAATTTGCATACCTCGTGCAATTAAATCCAACTTGAAAGGTTGCTCCACAAAGTAAATAAAAATCATAATTTCGACGACGACGCAGCCTGAAAAGGATGCGAAACGTCATAAAAAAACGTGTTTGCTTATGACCACACGACTGAAGTGAAACTTCTTTAGCTCCATCTATATGTATAAGATATATCTTATATATAAAATTCTCGTGTCACAATGTTAGATACCATACTCCTCCGAAACGGCTTGACAATTTTTATTAAATTTTATATGCATATTCAGTAGGTTTGAGAGTCGGCTACTATCTATTTTTCATACCCCTTAGTGATAAGGGTTGTCCACCCCTAACATTTATTTTTTATTTTTTGGACATTTTTTTTATTTGTTTATAATGTGGCATTAAAAATACATACAATCCTAAATTTTCCACCAGTCCCTATTTTTATGGCTTATCTTTATTTATTTATTTATTTATTTATTTATTTATTTATTTATTTACTCTTTATTGTTATTTACAACAAATGGCGGACTTAATGCCACATGGCATTCTCTACCAGTCAACCATCGGGCTAAGCAGAGACAATTATGCGGTTAAGTAAATAAAAGCAAAAGGTGAAAGGAAAGAAAAAAAAAATTGATAAAACTACATGATACTTAATATAAAATTATAATACATAACATCTATAAATATACTTACATAACTACATATATATACATACATATTTATATATACGATAAATACCTAAATATATACAATAATAAATACCTCTATACTTACTTAACAATACTATAATAAAACAAAATACAAATAATAATAAAATATAATAAAAATAAAATTAATATTAGGCGGATTGACCAGAGTTTGATTATAATATACTTAGAAATTGAAATTGTTATGACTTCTTAGCGAAATGCCGACGTACGAGGACCTTGAAAGCAGGTTTACTGGGTGCTTTTCTCACACTCTCCGGAAGATCGTTCCAGAGACTAATAGCTTGGAGACAAAATGAGTTTGATACGAAGCTGGAGCAGTGGGAGGGGATGGACAAAAGAAGATTTTCAGATGAACGAAGAGGACGAGAGTGTGTGGAACTTAAAAACTGAAATTTGGACTTCAGGTAAGACGGAGCATTAGGGTCAAAAAGAATTGAGAACAGAGATGTGAGAATTCTTAAATCACGACGGTCTGAAAGAGGCGGCCAATTGAGTTCACGGCGAAATGAAGTAATATGATCATATTTCCGTAGACTGAATATGAATCGAATACAGCTGTTAAGAGACCGCTCCAATTTACCAAGAAGATCTTTATTTAGGTCAGGATAACACACATCAGCATAATCTATGGATGGTAGGACAAGAGCCTGAATTAAAGAGATTTTTGTGTGAACAGGGAGAAAATTTTTATATCTATATAGGGCACGGAGCATATTTGTGACCCGCCGACATGTCTCGTTAATGTGAGTGGACCAGCCAAAGGTACTGTCAATGTACAAACC